GATGAGACCAGCACAACGGTGATGGAACAAGAACCAGCTTCCAAAGGAAACAATCCAACACCAGACACCATTTTTCCTGCTCTGAAAAAGTATTATGAGAGATGGACCCCAAAGTCATGGGCTAAATGAACTCAATGGACTTTCATAGACGTGGTTCACAGACTGAGCAATGAGATCTGTGGGTTTATATCAAAAGACAGGAAAGGTGATGGTGGAATGTACTGGAAAGTGTGGGATATGGCATGATGTAAATGGTATGGAATAAGGGCTGGATACTGTCCTGGTCTTGGCTGAGAGACAGGTAATTTTCTCCCTAGTAGCTGGCACAGAGCTGTGGTTTGGATTCAGTGTGAGAACAGTGTTGATCACACCCCCATGGCTTTGCTGGGCTTTTCAGTGTCTCATGCTCTGCCAGCGAGCACGTGCCAGGGAGCTGGGAGGGAGCATGGCCAGGACATTCCAACTGTCCAAAGGGATATTCCACACCACAGGACACCATCCCCAGTGTATAAAGGAAGGGAGGTTGCCCGGGAGAGGCAGTGGGAGGTCGGGGAACTGAGTGAGAAGTTACGTGGTGCTTATTTGCTCATTGGGGTTAAACCACAAGAAAAGGGATTGTACAGAAGTGGAAACCTTGCTGGAACCTGCTTTGTATTCATGAACAGCCCAACATCCACGGGATAGAGAAGGGCCAGACCTTGTGTCCTTGCAGTGCTGGGATTCAGTCACTGGTCCAAAGGCACCGGGGGTCCTGGGTGGTGCCTGTCACACAACTGGTCTGAGTGGGGACAGGGTTCCTGTACAGGACCTGTGCCGTCCATGGCAGGTGCTGGAATTGTGCTGGAGAGTCCTGGCACCTCCCCTGGCACCTCCCCTGGCACTACAGGTCTCTCTTTGGATATTAAATTCAGATTTGGCTGCCCTGAATTAGGTTCAGCAATGAAGGGATGCCCATGAGACTGCTGCCGTTGTGCTCTAAGGACATAATACCACTGATAGAGAAGAGAAAGGGAGAGACTTGTGTTTTCCTGTGATTGCATTGGTCAGCTGGACACCTCTGTGGGCTGCCATGGACATAAGGAGCAGTTACAGGTTCACCTGTCCTACATGTGGGCACCTTCTGCCCTTTAAATTGGGCAAAGCAATGTCCCAGCAGCCCCAAAGAAGATGCCCTCAGATGGTTCCTTGTCTCCATTGGAGCCTGCAGTTCCCAGCAGGAATCTTGGTCACCTCTGGCACCTCAAAAGTAACCAAGTGTTTGTGTCCAGCACTTGTAACCAAGTGTTGTGAGCTTTTGTCTTCATTAATTCCCATGGGAGCCGAGACAGAAGTCACCTGGAGGGTCCTGTTTTGTGCACACCTGAACTGGGGCAATGGGAATCCCACCCCATGGGGGTTGTGGTGGGAGCTGAGTGTCCTTTTAGCCCCAGGTCTATAAACTCAGAATGAGATGCCTCCATTCACTCAGCTGAGTCTCTTCCCTTGGTGGAGGAGAAGGAGATCCCTCCTGGGCACTGTCTGGGTTTCCTGTCTAATGATGGGACACAAAAAGGTGAATCTTGGACTTAACTCAGAGTCTTTGGAGAACTGACAGTGGTGAAAGAAGTGTCTGTGCCCAGCTGAGAGAGGGAACATCATTGTTTCCTTCAGCTGTGTCCCAGCAGGTTCCCCTGGAGCCCCAGGGACACGTGGAGGGAGCCCAGAGGGGCAGAGAAAGGGCTGCCTGGGGCTGCTCCTCTGCTGCTCAGCTGGGCCGGGCTCCTGGCACACAGGGAGCTCCTGGCAAGTGGGCAGGGCTGCAGAGAGACAGCTCTGCCCAGGAGCAGCTCCTCTGCACAGCCCAGCAGGGCTGAGGGCACTGCCTGCAGCACCCAGGGCAGGGCAGGGAAGGGACAGAGAGGTTACAGGCAGCCTGGGGTGTGAGGGGGACTGAGCTCTCACTCCAGGACAAATCTTCACAGGATTTGAATGAATAATTCTCTGGCTGCAGGAAAGTTAAACTTCCATTTCTGAAGGGATCTCCTAAATCTGGCACATCTCACAGCTTCTAGGATCTTTCAGAAGGACTCTCACAGTTCCTCTGGTGGAGAGGAGGTGGCCATGTGGCAGAGCAGGGCAGGACCTGCAGGCAGCAAGGGCAGACAGGAGGAGTGAGAAAGAGGTTAAAGGTATCCTGGGGGAGGTGAGACCTCATCAGGGGAGGAATCTTCCCAGCCCTTTGACATGGTCAGGCTCTGGCTCCAGAGCAGTGCAGATGAGTCCCTTGGAAGTGCCTCTTACACCTGCCAAATGCCACCACTGACAGGACCTTTCAGGATGGGCTCTCCTGGATTTCCTGGGGTGGAGCAGGAGAAGCTGCTCCAGAGCAGGATTTCCCTCCTGCACCACCAGAGGCACAGGGCAGGACAGCTCCCTCCTGCCAGGGCTGGTGCAGGGTGTGAAGCTGGGGGTGCAGCCAGGGGTGCCCAGGGCTGTGGGGCAGAGCAGGGTCCTGCCCCCAGGGCTCTGTGTGCTGGGGCAGGGACTCTGCCACGTGCCAGCTCCAGCTCTCAGCCCGGCCAAGGAGCTGCCACGGCCCTGCAGGGAGAAGGGGTGGGGGGAAGGAAAGACCCTTCAGGGTAGGTCAGGGATGAGCAGGACAGGGCCCTTCAGCTGCAGGGTCGGGGCTTCTCATGGCTTCAGCTCCACCTCCTGCCATTTCCAGGGGCCCTTCTCAGGAAGCACATCCCCCCAGAACACCTCCCCCTGCTCTGCAGCCCCTGCCCAGGCAGAGCTGCCCCTGGGCACTGGGCTGGGGATGGCTCTGGCAGCACTGGCAGGGAGCTGAGCTGGGCACAGGGAGGGGCTGCTGGCAGGAACAGCTCCTCACCCAGAGACAGGCAGGCAGGGACAGGCAGCTACTGCCACAAGTGCTGGGCAGGGGGATGTGGGCCCCTCCCTGCTGTCCCTGTGGCACAGACCCCTTCCCTGAGCAGCTCCTCCCTGGGCTCCTTTCCCAGCCCAAGCAGAGCCTGTGCCCTCAGGCCCACGGGGGCTGGGCTGTGCATTGCCCTGCAGCAGCCAGAGCCCAGGCAAGGACAAGGCCCTGATTTCCAGCTGTCTCTGTGTGTCCCTCCTCCCTTGGCAGCAGCACTGTGGCATTTCACTGCCATCCCCTGCTGCCTGGGCTCTCCTTGTTCACACCACTGGATTTTCTAAGCTGATGTGGGAGGTTGGGGGTGGCAGGTTCCTGTCCAGAAAAGGGACCCTTTGGGTCGAGCTGTGGGGATGTGTCTGTGGGAGCCAAGTGCCCAAGTGCCCTCCAGTCAGCTTCAGGACATTCAGCTGTTTCCCTGGGTGTCCTGCAGGGCTGCAGGGTGTCCTCCAGAAGGGCAGGGACGCCCTATAGTATCTCTGTGCTGCCTTGAATCCCCATGGAGACACCTCAGTGCTGGGGACACAGAAATGATGCCGGGCATCTGCACCTAGGCAGCTACAGTGATCCCTCTGTGGAACAGTCTGGGAGGAGAAAGCAAGCCCTTACTCACAGTCTCTCATGTGCAGCTGGTGGGCCACTCTTGGCACTCTGTGGACAGGAAGAACTTTCTGTCCTGGCATCTTTTGTCTGGGAGGAATCTTTGTCCGTGTTCAATTCTGGCAGTCGGGCACCCATTGCAGCACAGGGCTCCTGCAAGCAAACAACAGTCCTTCCACCCAGGAAAGAAAGCCCTTAACAACAGTCTCTCATGTGGGCCACTCTTGGCACTACATGGACAGCAAGAGCTTTCTCTCCTGGCACCTTTTCTCTGGGAGGAATCTTCGTCTGTGTTCAATTTTGGGAGCTGGAGTTGCAATTTCAGTGCAGGGCTCCTGCAAGGGAACGACAGCCCTTTACCCAGGGAAAGGAAGCCCTTATCCTCCACTCTCGTGTGCAGTGTCTGGGCCACTCTTGGCACTTGGTGGGCAGCAAGAGCTTTGTGTCCTGGCACCCTTTGTCTGGGAGGAATCTTCGTTCATGTTCAGTTTTGGCAGTCGGACTGGCCAATTCCAGTCAGGGCTCCTGCAAGCAAACAGTTGCCCTTCCACCCAGGAAAGAAAACCCTCCTGCTCTCCAGTGCAGTTGGGCACCACTCTTGGCACAACACAGACAGCAAGAGCTTTCTGTCCTGGCACCTTTAGTCTGGGAGGAATCTTCGTCCAAATTGGAGACACCCCAAAACCCCCCCTTTCCCTTGTTCCCTCCTGAGACCCTGTGCCCCCATGCAACTCTCCCAAATTCCCTCCACCCTCTCTCATCCCCATCATCCACATCTCCTTAAGTCCCTCCTGACTCCCGAACACCATCAGGTTCCTCTGGATTTGTGGGGGCACCTCTGGGGCTCTCCCCAAGTGGCTCATGTTTCCCACCCTTTTCCCCCTCGATATAAAGCAAAGTGTGGTTTTCCTTCTATTTAATCCTCAAAACAGAAAAAGGATTTAGACTCTTAGAATGATGCATAAAGAGGCTCTTCCCTCGATTTAAACCCCGAAAAAGGTGGAAAAAGGGTGAGTTTCCCTGAAACTGGGGGCACTGGGATGCTGTGGGCTGGTTCCTCTGGTCCCGCTGCTCCTGCCAGGGCGGTGCCCGAGTTGCCATCCCCGGCTGTGCCACGTTCCAGGAGGGTTCAGGGGGCAGGTGGGGCTGCCCTGACACCGAGGGGACCGAGGCTGAAACGCTGGGAGCTGGAGAGGCCTCGCTGCAAAACTGCCCAGGGTGGGTCAGCGAGAGCAAAGTGCCCCAAGACCCCCCTGGAGACCCCACAGGAACTGGAGCCCCTCAAGACCCCCCCCCTCTGAGAGGGGTCACCCCAGAGTGGAGCAGGGTCACCCCACAGGGACTGAAGGCCCCTGAGATCCCTTTTGGAATGGGGTCACCCCGAGATATCCCCCTTGGAGTGAGGTCACTCCACAGGGATCCTGCAGCCCCCGGAGACCCCCATGGAGCAGGGACCACCCAGAGAGGACCAGACAAGAGACGTGACTCGGAGAGGGTCTGACCTTTAATAGGGCACGGGGGAGTACAAATTGAGGGTTCTCCCCACCTTCACACCCCCCCCACCATGTCCCACTCCCCCCTCGGCGTCCATCCATGGCCCGGGGGAGGAGGGGCCCCCCCTGAAATCCAGCACCGAGGGTCCAAGCTGAGGATGAGAAGGAAATCAGTGGGGAAGGGGCACTCAAAGAGCCCCCAAAAATGGGGGTTTGGGGGCACAGGAGGAACCCGAAACTATCCTCCAAATAATTTGGGAGGGTCAGAGAACTCTGCAGCCGCCGCCCCCCCAAAAACAAGGGTTTGGAGAGGTCAGGGACTACCCAGAATAATTTGTGGAGGAGTCAGAGACCAGCACAGCCCCCCAAAATGGATGGTTTTGGGGATTCAGGGACTGTCACTCCTCCTAAAAAATTGGGGGCATAAAAGGAGAGAACCCCAAAACCACCCCAAAATGACTGAGGGGGTGTCAGAGTGCACCACAGTCCCTCCAAAATGGGAGTTTGAGCAGGTTCAGGGACCACCAACCCCCTCAAAATTGGCGACATGGAGGAGGATCCCAAAATTATTTGGGAGAGGCATGAACCCCTTCCAAACTCCACAAAATTGAACTTTGGGGAGCTCAAGGATCCCCCAAAAACAGTTTGGGGGGGGGGGACGCATCAGAAAACCACGAACCCCCTTCCAAAAATGGGGGGTTTGGGGGGAGGGTGTGGGGCTGGAGGGTTTCCGAGGGTCCCCAGCTGTGTGCAGGGGGTGCAGGGGGGTTCCCCAGGGTGTCCCCAATCCCTGTTGGGGGGTGCCACCCCCACCCCCCCCGCCGTGCCCCTACCTCAGTTGTCATAGTTGTCCCGGTACGAGGCCGAGGGGAAGCGCTCGCCGTAGCCCCCCTGGTTCCTGGGGGACATCGGGGGGGGGATCAGCACCCATGGGTGCCCCTCCCAGCAACCAGGAGCCCCCCTCCCACCCCCCCAAGCAGCCCCAGAGCTTCCCCCAGGATTCTCCAGCACCCAAAAGACCCCCCCAGCTCTACCACCACCCTCCCAGCACCCACAGGGCCTCCCCCAAACCCCAGGGGTGCCCCCCCAAACCCCAGGGGTGCAACCCCAAACCCCAGGGGTGCAACCCCAAACCCCAGGGCTGCCCCCCCCCAAACTCCAGGGGTGCCCCTCAAACTCCAGGGGTGCCCCTCAAACCCCAGGGGTGCCCCCCCCAAGCCCCAGGGGTGTCCCCCCCAAACCCCAAGGGTGCCCCCCCCAAGATCCATCTGGGACCCCAGTGCCCCACTGTGTCCTCCAGCTCTCCCCCCAAAAGCCCCCCCAAGATCCCCCGTGTACCCCCCCAGGTCACCCCCAAATCTCCTCCAGCCCCCTCCCCTCCAAAGACCCCCCAGGTGCCCCCTCAAAGCCGAGCAAAATCCCCAAGTCCTCTCTGAAACCACCAGACACCAAATTACTCCTCCAAAAGCCCCCTCAGCACCTCCCAAACCCCCTCCCACCACACATCCCCCCAATCCCCCCTCCCAAACCACTCAAAAACCCTTCACCCTGCCAAGTACCCTCCCCAAATGGCCCCAGGTTCCCCATTAACCCCCCCCAAACACCCCCTTAACCCCCCTGTCCCCCCCCAAACCACTCAAATCCCCCAAAAGCCCTCCAAAGTACCCCAACCCACATCCCATAAACCCCCCAAAGAGCCCCTTAAACCCCTATAAGCCCCCCCCAGGTACCCCAAAAACGTACCTCGACCGTATCCTCGGCCCCGGGCCCGGCCCCCCCCGTAGCCCCCTCGGGCACCGCGGGGCGATTTCCCGGCGTGATCCACCCGGATCTGCCGCCCGTCCAGGCACTGGGGACACGCCAGGCTGGGGTCACCCCGGCCCCTCCTGGGAGCCCCCAGCCCCACACCCGTTTAGGGCTCCTCAACTTCTACCCAGTGCCCCTTAGAGACCCCCAATGACCTCCCGGGGATCCCCAAGTGCCCCCCAGAACCCCTGGGGATCCCCCGCCAGGGGCACTCAGGGACCCTCAAGTGCACCCCCACACCCTTAGAAACCCCCCAGACCCTCCCAGGGGCCCCCAGACCCCATGAAAAATGGCCCAAACCTGCTCAGAGATCCCCCGGGCTCCCCTGAGGGTCTCCCACATTCCCCCAGCCACCCACAAGGGACTCCAGACCCTTGAGGGCCCACAACCTCTTTGGGGTCTCCCTCCAGACTCCTTCTGAAACCTCTGAGTGTCCCAGACCTCCTGAGCGACCCTAAATGTCGTGCAGGGCTCCTCAGGCCCCCCGTGCCCCCCGTGCCCCCCGTGCCCCCCGCCCACCTCGCCGTTCATGGCCCTCATGGCGTCACTCGCGTGCTCGGGGTTGGTGAAGGTGACGAAGCCAAAGCCACGGGAACGTTGGGTCTCCCGGTCCTTCACCACCACCACTGAGGGGGAACAGGGGGTCAGGGGCATCAGGGACCCCCCAAACCACCACTGAGGGGGAACAGGGGGTCAGGGGGATCAGGGACCCCCCCCAAACCACCACTGAGGGGGAACAGGGGGTCAGGGGCATCAGGGACCCCCCCAAACCACCACTGAGGGGGAATGGGGAGAGTCAGGCAGGGCTGAGACCCCCTGAAATGGGGTCGCACGGGAGGAAGGGACCCCCACCCCCAAACCCAATCCTGTGCGTTAAGACCCAAAACCGGGGTCCAAAGGGACACGGTGACCCCCAGCAATGAAAATCGGGGGTCCCAAAAGCAGAGGGAACCCCCCAAACCCCATTCTATAGGTTACACCCAAAAATAGGGCCCCCACTCTTGGGTGTCACCCCAAACCCAAGGCCTACATGGGGCAGTCGGCCCTTCCAACGTGTCCTCCCTCCCCAAGCAGTTTTCAACACTCTGGGGACTCCTGGAGAGATCTGGGGGTCTCCAGGGAAGAGCAGGGGGACCCAAGGGGATTCTGGGGCTCTGGTAGGGGATCTGATGGTTCTCAGAAGGGTTTGAGGGAGGAAATGGTCCTAGAGGGAAGTTTGGGAGATCTCAGGGGCTTTGGGGAGCAAGAGGTGGGGGTGCTGGGGAGGAGTTGGGGTGTCTGCAATATCTGGGGGTCCCAGGAGGGATCTGGGGCTCCCAAGGGGGTTTGGGGGTCCCCAGGGGAGGGTTGAGGGGTGTTGGGGGTTCCGGGGGGGTCTCGGAGTGCCTCACCCTCGGCGATGGGCCCGAAGGAGCTGAAGTGCTGCTCCAGCCCCTGCTCGTCCGTGTCGTAGTTGAGGCCCCCCACAAAGAGCTTCCCCTCCTCCGCCGCCATGCGTGGGGGGCGGGGCCGGGAGCGATGTCATAGGGTGGGGCCCTGCCCCTCCAGCGACACTACAACCTGGGCAGGAGAGAGGAGTTATGATGTCATAACCCTGCCCCCACACCCCCGGGTCTGCTATGACATCACAGCCCTGGCAGGGAACCCCCCAGGATCCCCCCTGATGTCACAACCCTCACAGTGACCTCCACCCCGCCTGAAGCCTGATGACGTCACAGCCCAGAGGGAATCCCTCTGCCCCACGCAGGGTTCAGTGACGTCACGGCTCGCAGAATGCACTCCCCTGGGCCCCTGTGACGTCAGTACTCTGGTGGGACGCCCCACGTGGCCTCCAGTGACGTCACAGCTCTCCAGGAGACCCCAGTCCTAGAGAAACCCCCGTGACGCCACCGCCTTGGGGCAAACCCCTCGCAGCTCCACACCTTCCCTCCCAGTGACGTCACGGGAACTCCCCGGCTCCCCCCCGACGTCAGCCCAGCCCCACGTGGGTCCCCCCCGGCCACGTGGGCATCCCCCGGAAGCGCCGCTCCCGCTCCCCGCGCGCGCGCTGGCCCCGCCCCCCCGCGCACGCGCGAAGCCCGCGCGGCCCCCGAAGGCGGCGGGGGGAGAGCGGGGAGGGGGGAAGCGCCCCCGGCGGCAGCGCCTGCGCGGAGCGGCGGGAGCCGCGACTATCGCGACAGGGGGAACGGGGGGACAGAGCCCCGACAGGAGCGGCGGCCACTCACCCGCGCGGCGCCGGCCGGGCCCGGAATGAGGCCGCGCCCGCCCCGCCCCGGGTTATCAACCGGCCCCGCCCCCGCCGCGCGTCACGGCCGCGCCGCCACGCGATTGGCCGCCCGCTGGGACCCGCCCCCCTCGCGCGGAACGGACCATTGGGGGGGGGGGGGGGTTGGGGAGGGTAAAGGAGCGCGTGGTACCGCCCGGGCCGGGGGGATCTGGGGCCCTCGTGGTGCGCGGGGTCGGGGCGATCCCGGTGGGTCCCGATGGGGGTCCGGGGGGGTCCCGGGGGCGCTGGGAGGGAGGAGCGCACCCGAGGGCTCTCGGGGGGTCACAGAGGGTCCCGGGAGGGGCTGGGAGGGCTCGGAGGGGTTCGCACGAGGGGTCCCGGGGGGGCTCACACAGGGTCACACCGGTCCCGGGGAGGCTTTAATGGTCGGTCCCGTTACAGCCGAAACGCCGCGGCCCCGCCCCTTCCCCTCCCCCCCCGTGATGCCGGGGGAGCGACCCCCCGTAGAATCCGTGACCCCCCCGGGGCCAGAGGGGCTCCGCGCACCCCACTCCCCCCTCCCGGGCCCCCGTATGGGCTATAGGGAACTCCCCCACCCTATAGAGACCCACAGACCCCCCGGGGGCCACAGGGACCCGCCAAGGGGGCCACAGGAACCCGCCAAGGGGGCATAGGAGCCCCCGCCGAGCCCCCGAACAGTCCAAGGGCCCCTCCGGAGGGGCTCCCGCGGCCCCGCAGGGCGCTATAGGGGGCGGGGGGGGGCGGGGCGCGCCCCCTCCCACTGCATATAAAAAGCCACGCCCCCTGCTCCTCCCCCCTGTACATATATACACGGTACCTATAGAGACAGGGACGGGACGGGGGGGGGTGAGGTTCGGCGATCCTGAGTGAGGCTGGATGGGAGGG